CAAATTTTTCAAAATAAATCTTATAAAAAAAATTCTTTATATTAAATATGAAAAAAGTTTTAATCAATTCAAACGACGAAAATATTTTGCTTTTTAGTTTTTGTTCTATAGAATTTTTTTTTCTATTTTCCGTATTTAAAGTCATTGTGGTTGAATTGCTTGCTCATAAGTTTTATAGGTACAAACCTAGGCACGATAATAAATTATTTCATTATTTTATTTTAAAAAATTTTTGTCACGCCAAACAAATTGAAAAGCAAAAAAAATGAAATAAGGAAAGTAATTTTAAATATTGAATTGTTACCGGCATTTTGCATATTTTGCATGCTAAAAGCATTAAACAAAAAATATGAAAACTATTCAAAAGGTTTTTGCTTTTTCTTTAGTTGTAAATGATGTCAATTGAAAATTTTGATTTGGAAGCTATAGTGAACTTAGAGCTTAGAAGTAGAAACTGAAATATGAAAAAGGAAACTATTAATATACATGAAAAAATTCATACATGAAATTACATGAAAAAATCGTTAAAATTCATAAAATTTTCAATGAATTTTAGTAAAAACTTCTTTAATTAGAAGCTTAATAAAACTTCTTCCGGTCGTATTTACAAATAGTTTACAAATAGTTTTAGATCTCTTGAAAATTTTAACGAAAAAATTGATAACAGGGCTATGTTATTAATATTAAAATAAAAATATTGGACAACAAATTGAAATTAATAATTCGCATTAAGTTGCTTTATTCAGTCCTTGCAAACTTTACAAAAAAAATTATAAATCTAGCACCCAAGATTTCCGAAAATTTCAAATAAAAATATTTTTGACGCTAAAAAAGATTCTCAAATCCTTTAAGTATACTCTTACCCATTCATGTTTTCTCCGTTAGAATTTGGCAAATAAACTCTTTGAGAGTTTGCCCTTCCGTAGTTTAAGGCAGAATTTCTACATATCTTCAGCAGATCATATTGTCAGCAACATATTCAAAGTAAACGATGGAATTACTGTATGTATGTACATAAATGAGTAAAATTAGGGAAATGTTCAAACGTAATTTGTTAGAGCGGATTTTGTGCTTTTTTTATTTATTATTTTATTTTTATATTTACAGAAATAAAAAGATTTAAATGAGATTTTCAAAAAAAATTGTTTTGATTTCTTTTTCCGTTTCGTTTTTTATTTTTTTTTTTTATTTATTTAACTTTTTACATTGTTGATTTTGTAATATTAAAGTCTGTAAAAATAATTATTGCTATTAATAAAAATATAAAAGATATAAAATTTTTTTGTTTTGAATTTTTTAATTTAAAACCATAAATTAGATAAATATTTATATAAATACCTACATACTTACAAACATTTTAAATAAAATCAAAATACTTGAACTAAGATGACATTTTTAAAGGAAAAATGTCATTGACATTTTATTTTATTAAATATTTTTATAGTTTTTAAGCACTTCTTCAAAAAAGTTTTGAAAAAAAGAAGTTCCTATTATTTTCACTCTATCCGAGCGTGGATATTCGTCTGTCCGTCCGTGGATATATTTTTTCCAAATTTGTGAAAAACACGTTGATAAAAAGTCTGAAATTTTAACAGCTGTTAGACATTAATAAATAGTTCATTTCATTAGAAGAAAATTTTTCCCATCTCCATCCTCCCTCAAGTTTATCTTGAAATTTATAAAATCCTCTTGAAATTTAAGCTTTCCTCAAGCTCCATCCTCTTGAAATTTATAAAATTTGAATTTTTGATACCTTATATTTACGAAACGGCAGGCGTTTTCAAATTTCTATAAACCCAAAAAGCTAATGGTAAATTCCAACCAAAATATAATTATATTTTTTAACTCACGCAATTAGCCCTTAAAATCGAGCATTATGTTAACACCTCATTTAATTTATTTTTGCTTTATTTCAAAAACTGTATAAATCAGTTGTGCTGACTGTATGCAATCCTTAAAAGAAGTATTTTCACTTGTTGAAGGGAAAAGTGCTACATTACAAACCACTGGTTTGACCCAACTTTATTATTATAAAATTAAAGTATTTGTACGTCAACATAAGAAAGATTAATATTAATTATGAAATATGAAGGAGTTTTAAGCTCAATGTTTTTATAATAAAAAATATTAACTATAAAATTATTTTTTATATTTATCGAGAATGTGTTAAAGTATAATGCTTACGTTCACTTATCATGAATAACATTTTCAAGACAGTGAATAATAGCTATTTACAACAATTTTCTTCAACTGTATCAAGCCGGAACAATACATATGTATATTATATTTGCTCTGAAAATTATAGCAATTTTCCGCGTTATTTCTGTAAATTTTCCAAATTTCCTAAATTTAAATAAAAAATAAACACACAATTTCTTCTCTAATTCATCTTGTACAACTAAGTGTGTTACTGTTCTATTATGCTTTTAAATGGGTTTATAAAAATTTTTGCTAAAATAATCCTTGAGAAGTTTTTTTTAATATTCGGAGAATTCCGATATTTCGGAATAAGACTTAAACATTAAATTTTGAATGAAGTACTGAATTCTGTGTTGTAAAAATATTTTCAGCAAAATTTGATAATTATTTAGTAGCGATTATTTTTCACCTAAAACTCAATTGCAAAACTTTTAGGAAATTTTTCATGTGTCTACTGTCTATTGTGTCAAAATATTTTAGGCTCTGGCACATTTATTAAAATATTTTAAATAAATTAATAGCAATGAAAATCAAATAAAACTTTTATTTGAAATTTTTATAAAATTTTTATTTTATGTCAATTGCATACAAAAGTAATTTAACATTGTACCTCCGTGTTTTTTTTACCAAACTGATTTAACAGCGCTATAAAGGAAATATCTTAATAATATTTGAAATTTTTATTAAAATTATGAAGTCAATAAAAACTTTGACTTCAAAGTTAACTGACAGAATTTTATTTTTTTTTTGTTTTTATCCTTTGTATTTTGAATTAAATCGATTTTTCGTTTTAGTGTTTTTCTTTTAAAAACTCTATAATTTAAAAATTGATATTAACTAGTTCTTTTAATGCATTTCCAGGACTAAAAGATTGTTTAACAATTATAGCTTAAGTTAAACCTTAAGAAAAAAAAATTCCAAAGAAATGTTTTTTGGAAGTTTTAAAAAATTTTTATTTGAAATTATCGGGACAAAAAACAGTGAAACAATTAAAAAATGGAAATGGGAAAATGGAAATATTGAAAAATTACATTAGTATTAAACAGTATGGAAATTAGCAAATAATGTTGTATCTTATTTTTAAAATTTGTGTTAGGCTCTTTCAAAAACGGTTCGCTTGAAGTTCCATTTCATCTACCTTTCTGAGTTACGCGGTACATTATTATATTTAACCGTTCAGCTCATTGGAAAATTTGAATTTCGGTTTCTATCCAAGGTTTTTTTTAACGCTCATCTTTTTTCAACGCTAAAAAATTGACAACTGAGATATAAACAGAATACCTCACATTTCTGCATAGCGTCCAACTCTGAATAAACCAAGCTTGGTTTGTCTTTCCGTTCGTGTAATCTGTCAGTTCGTCCATCCCATTAAGAAATTATAACGAATTCAACTAGGCTAACCAAATCCTTAATTACAACCTGAGGTTTAGAAGAAACGGGATATCAAATATTTAGAAAAAATGGATTTTAGACAACAGCTATTTCGGTTTTTTAAAGTTTAGGTACGATATGCCACGGCAAAAGAAATTCACCACTACTTTCCTGCTTTTGCAAAATTAAAAAAAATGGAATGTTTGTGGTTTGGGAAGGAGTGAAGTAAACAAAAATTTTCTTCTTCGAAAATAAGTAAGGATCTATTTACATATCAAATTTCAGCTTTCTATCTTTAAGGGTGTAGAAGTTTTGTAAACATGTGCACAGTCGGACGAACAGAGTGAAACTAATAAAAATTTTTTTTCAAATTTGTGTTAAAAATTCTAAAAGTAATCTTTCAATATTTTCAAAAATTTTTATTGAATAAATTATGACTTTGATTACTCATTTTTATGTAAATTGTCATTACACGTGCGCGTATTTATTTTACCTACCACTGTAAACAAACTTTCTGTCGCATTCTTTTATTTTCTCCTCTACTTCTCCTTATTTTGTCTGCTTGTAATTTAATTTATAATAGATAATTTTTAGCTATTAAATTATTTTCACATCGAATTGTTTATAATCAAAATAAACCTGTAATAAAGAAAAATGGAATGGGATTGAGTAAATTTACAACAGTTTTACTAAAAAAATATTCTTAACCTTTTTTATTACCTTTTTCTCCTTATTTTGTTGGTAATTAAATATAATAACGACATCTCGTTTCGTAATGTAAATATGTATGTATTACCAATATACACATACCAACAATAATAATTTTGTATAATAATTTTTAGATATTTATACGTTTGGTTGATTATTAGAATCATATTCTCCCATATTTTTTTCTACCCCATTCTGTTTTGATCTTCCCCCTCTTGCTTTTATATATAGAACGAAATAATTAATTAATTTATGTATCCTTTCGTCCCGTTCTATCAACTAACAGGGAATGGAGAAAAAAAAAACAATTTTTACCATTATCATGTTTATTAAGCATAATAATGAGCTGAAAAAAGCAAAACATAATAATAAAAGGAGTAACATAAAAATCTTTTTCTATCAAGATCCTTTTCGCTTGCTTTGCTTTGTTTATTTGTGTTTATTTATTTTATATTATTCCTTTATTTTTTATTTATGAATATTTTATGTTATTTTGTTTCTTTATGTAATCCACCCTTTGTAAAACATTTTTACTGTTATTATTATTATTTTTGTTTCCCTGTATTTTATTATTTTTAATTTTATGTTATTGTTTCATAAAAATTATTACAAAAAAAAAGAAAAAAATTATAATAATAATAATAATAAAATATAATAATAATTATAACTTTAATACTGACTTCTATAATGTCAATTTTTTCCTTTCTTTTCTTTTGTTATAGTTGAAGCCGCACAACGAGAAACCGGAAAGCAAAAAGATATAAATAATGTTAATCCAAGCAGTAACAGTAACAGTATGCATGGAAATGTTAATAATGATAGCAATATTGCAATTGGTAGTACAAATTTAAATGGTATAAGTGGTAGCAGTGGCAGCAATAGCAACAGTAACATTCATAGCAGTAGTAATAATAATAATAACGGCAATAGTGGCGACGGTAAAACCAGTAATAATAATGCTGGTAATAGTAATAGTGGTATTACACAAAATTCAATGCAAAATATAAATGGAAATGGTAGTAGCAGCAGTAGTAGCAATAGCCCCAGCAGCAGCAGTAGTAGTAGTAGCAGCATTAGTAATAGTGGTAACAATAGTAATAATTTAAATAATCTTTCAAATAATAAAGATAATAATAATAGTGGTGGTGGTAGTAATAATAATAATAATAATAATAATAATAATGGTAATAATAACAGTGGGAATAGTAATAATGCAATTACAACACCTTCAAGTAAAAATACATATGTTGAAGTTGAAGAAACACGTAATGGGCCATATTTTGATAAAGCTGCATCAAAGAATGTTACAGCATTATTAGGTAAAACAGCTTACCTTAATTGTAGAGTGAAAAATTTAGGAAATAAGACGGTAAGTTTTTTGTTATAGAATAAAATTAAATTTTTTTTTTGTTGTTTTTTAAATATTATATATGTAAAAGAATAGACAGAAAATAGGTAAAACAAAAACTTGACTAACTGTTTAACTTTTCTGTTTACATAAATTTGAATGGTATGAAGCAGGGCTTCCCAACATTATTCTACCATAATGTTGACTTCTATTATACAATGATTCCAAGATCTATGTATCATGTAAAACATTGAATGATAATTGCTTGATATAACCTATAATAATCGTAAAATTTTTATTATTTGAATTTAATTTTAATATGAAAAATTTTCAGCACAAGAAACTATTAAGTTAATATAATATTAGGGTTTTACCTTATAAAAATATAATGTAGGTTGCAGGAATATATTTTGTATGATATCATTAATTACAACTTATCTTTTTTATTTTAATAGATTTCCATTGTGAGTTACCTGCTGCAAACCTGCTGTATTGTATCTCTATCTGTTACCTGCTCGAATATAATTCCTGTATTGAAACATTCGGAAATTAATTTTTTGCAGTTATGTAAACAAATATGAGCTGAAATTCGTACCATCATACGATTGAATAGCCCTATATTGTAATATGATAGTAAATGGAGATCCTTTTATTCTCTGACATAACAAAACATTGCAACTTGTATAACATACTTAAAGAGTTTTTTTTTTATATTTATCATGCACTTATCTTATTCAAAAAAGAGGAAGTTGAAAAAATATCACGTAAAGTTTGTTAATGCCACGTGTTGTAGAATATTGCATAGGAACTAAGATGAAAAAATTATTTTCTTTCTTAGTCAGAAACCGTTCCAATTTATAACAAAAATTCGTGTTCTCATTTTCATAAATGAAATTCACACGAGTTGATAAAATATGTATACATACACACATACTGCATAAATATTATTTTAATGCATGCATATTTACGTGTGTGCATTATGTTTTAGTTGAAATGTTAGTTAAGTGCCTGCAATTATGTGCATATGTTAGAAAATAAAATGAAATTGTAACCGTTATTGTGCATGCAAGTTATAAATTAAATCATTTTCATGCTACTTTATGAATGTGTGCAACATTTACACAGCACAAAACTAATAGAATCAAGTAGAGCAAAAATGAAATATTGTCGGTTCTACTTATATTAGTTATTTAAATTTATTTGAAATATCCTTGAGTCCCGATTTATAGTAAGAGACAATTTTGCAATTTAATTCAGAAAATTTATGTCGTCTATACTGAATTAGATTCATTTTTTTGGTTTATTTTTTCCTAGTATTTTGTAAGATAACAATAGGGCACTCTACTGAAGGCATAATAATATTTTCATAAAATTTGCAGAGATTTGAGCACACAAAAATTGTAACAATTTTAAGGAACAAGTTATATTAACTTTATATTTTTACTGTCCCAGTCAGTAGTTTCAAGTAAATCAATCTTAAAGTTTCGCAATTATAGAAATTTTGAGAAAATTTTCAGACTACAACTAAAAAATCACGGATTTCTCCATAAGATCTTTGAAAATCCTTATCGATGACAAAATTTCAATCGATTTTGTAGTATCTTTATCCACAATTATAACTAAGTCATGCTTTGCTAAATATGAAGATTTCAAATAAGTATAATTGTCAGACATATTTCGTCAGTTTTGCTTTATGGCCTGACATACTTCGTGAGTTTTGCTTTATGGCATAAAGTTTTATTTTAATACTAATTAAAATTGCTACTGGACTAATTTTGCTACTCGACTTATACTCCTTTAATTTTATTATAATTAATAATGAAATTTCGTCTTCGATGCTATTAAAACTTTTAACCAAAACTACTGTGATTTTTGCCATATTAAGCACGTAAAAACGGAACTCCTGTTAAAAAAAAATGAAAAAATTACAAAAACTCCTTCACTCTAAAAAAAACAAAAAGAAATGCATTAAACATGTGCCCTATTTTTCTTTTCTTCCACTAATGTAAGGAATCCACCATGAAATTAGAATAAAAGAGTTGAAATTTCAAAAAACAAAAAAAATAAACAAATTTTTTTTTTACTTAAAATTAACATGCATTTTATAAAAAAGAAAAGCAAAACAGAAATAGGGTAGATGACCAGTATTTCGTGTCCAAAGTAATTTTAAAAGAAACATTTTCGTTTTTTAGTGTGCTTAAGTCTTTTTTACATATTTTTAACTTGACTCGTTTGGACTTTTAATTTTTTTGTATGCATGTTTGCTGTTTAAAATGATTGCTTAGATAATACAAGTATAGAGTGCTTTTAAATTAAATACATTCCTCACAACAATAAAAATAATAATAATATGTTTAGTGCAGTGTTAACATTATGTAAACATAATACAATACATAATATATATGAATATGAGTGGCACAATACACGTCATACATATTATAGGTACTTGAATTTCTAATTTGTTGATATTAAAGAGGAAAATAGTAAGAATTCTTTTCAGTATTTTAAATTAAGAGAGTATGCACTAAATAATATGAATTTCAAAATTCATGCTTAAAATTGTATGGAATTATTCAAAAAAAAAAAAAAACCTAGAATTTATAAGGAAAAAGTTCTTAAAATTTGATTTATTGTTGTGAAAAAAAAAGTTCTTAAAAAAATAAATTCCAATTCAAAAAAGGATTATTTTTGACATGGCATAATTTGGACTGTTGTTTTATAAAATAAATTTGAAAAAAAAAAATAAAAACTTTGAAACATTTTTACATTTTCTCGGGCAACAATTTTTTAGTTTCTATATGATTTTATTTTCCAATACGCGCAAAATACTGTAATTAACATCTAAATAACGCAACATACAATTCTCGCTTTCATATCTATAGTCTTTTCAGCCAGAATTAAAATTATCTCATTCATACCTTGTTGAAAATTGTTTTATAAGGTACATGATTGACAAGGAGTGATGAATAATAGCTTAATGTGACACAAAAAAAAATAAGTATTGAAAAATAAGTATTGAAAACCAATTGGCATTTTTCAAATCAGCAACACTTATGCATATTATTTTTACATTTAAAAGTAGTATTTGAAATATTTTGAATTATTAAACAAATTATATCCAAAATAACTATAAAATAACAAATCTTATAAGCACAGTTCCTGAATGTTAAGTATTAACGTATGTGTTTGGTTTGCTAAATTATTGTAAATCATTTTAAAGAATTCAAATATCTATACTACTTATAGCAAAATACCTAGTTGTTCATTTGGGGAGAATGACTCAATAATTTTGGTGATGAGCACTTTAGAAGTCATTCTAAATATCAGTCGATTAAAAAGTGCAACCCCTTTGCTATATACAGTCGCCAAATTTTCAATTAAGAAAAAATAATAAATGAATAGTAAATATTTGTTTTAAATGTAAACATATTTCAAAATTAAATAAATTATATGCAATTTATTAAATTTATTTTAAAAATAAGATTAATCATCTTAATATAAATTCATTTTCGAAATAAACTATATTATTACTCTAATATTTATTTTATTATAATTTATCACGCAAAATTTATACTCTTTATTCATACTTTTCACATTATTTTCAATTATAGTTTCATTTTTTATTAAAGTGTACAATAGTGCTATTTCTATATTATAAATGGTACTTTTACAATGCTCTCGTACTTGTACTATAATACATAAATAGTATATCGTAAAAATAAAAACATAAACAATAAAATACAAAAAGAAAGAGAGTAAAAAAAATTTCGTTTATTATTGTGTCCTTTTAACACTTGAAATATGTAAAGTAGAAAAAAATTTTAACTCAGACCAACCACTTAGTATCTCTAAAAATAGATGAACATATTATACACGTTTGTGTACATGTATATGCAATAGTTTAGTATTATAAAAACAATGTCCTTTGTTCTTTTTTCATATTCTTGCCATTATATTCATTTTTATACTTATATCAGTTTTTTTTTTTTGTGATTTTTATAAATAGACTATTTATCAATATTGACCCTGTCAAGTATTTTAGTCAAAATGTCCTTATGCATTCATACTTATACATATCGAATACTTGAATAAAACTATAACAATAAACACAAGAAAAAGAACAAAAAACAGAAGATAGAAATGAGAAAAAATTGAAAATAAAAGAAAACAGAAAACTACTAGGTAACGACAAATTTTTTTGGTTGGTCACATATATAATAGGGCTATTTTATATTTAAATATTTTCTTTGCAGTACAGAACAGAAAGTAACTGTATCAACAATCAACATTTTAAGATCAATAATTATTATTTCTTTACCAACAATTAAGAGTCTTATTAAAATTATGGTTAAAATTGAAAATTTCAAAATAAAATATATAAAAAAAATACAATTTTATGCCTCATATTAAAACAAATTTTGACTTTGTCCAAATAGAACAAAAAATTGGGGCCATATTATATTAAAATTATTTTGCATGAATATTCGTGCTATTATAACAGTGTTTCGGATATAGAAATTATGATATTCGTTCATTATACTCGCACAAACGAGTTTTTAAATAACATAGTAGAAAGATTCGATGTATAGATACTAGTATCTTAGATATATAGATATATCTAATTAGCATTAAATTGGGTTAAGCAAATGTTCTTCAGTTACCAAGAGTTATTATTGAAAGAACTCTTGGGTTTATTCGAAAACAGTGATTCAAGTAGACGCCAACTACTCGAATACTTGTTAGTGCAACTCTAAACATAATTTGATCATATTTTGGAAACTGTACATTCAACAGATTTAAAAAACGGGCCACTATTCTATTAAATTTTGGTTGTATTAGTTTTGTAACAGCTTCCAAATCACGAGTGAGGTAATAATACCATAACACCTACTAAATGACCGTTTAAAAAAAAATTAACTTTGTTTTTTTCCTGTTATGATATCAAATAACGAGTTTAATTTCTTAAATATATCATGAATCATGCAATGAACTTTACATACAAGCACAGCTTAAATTATCAG